CCGCTGACCCTCGAGGCGCGCGCGCTGGAGGAAGGCCTCTCGCGCGAGGCGGCGCACAACCTCGTGCACATCTACCGGCGCACGGGGGCCGGGGAGCTGGCGCGGCAGGTCATGAGGCGGTACCTCGTGTTTTGACGCGTCCGAAGGGGTGACGCTCCCTCCCAGGTTTCGGTCCCAACACAGGTGGACGAATGCTTTCTACGTAGGTTTGCCTATTTGTTTGTGTTGCTGCTTGCTTTGAATGTCGCACATGGACATGCTGTGTTGTTTGGATGCAGCATCCCCTGCCTTTGGAGTGTCGCACCGTATTCCCCAATTGGGCCGCCCTCTGGCCGTTTGCTGACCACCACCGCCCGCCTTGTGCTTTACTTGCTGGCGCCCGCTTTGTCATCCAGATGCCGTCGAGTGCGTGCCGCAACCCGTTTTCAGTGGCGGCGGTTTGATCGCCCACCCTCAGGCTGACAATCGTCTCATTGCTCCCCAATGGCTTCACCAAGCCCTCGCTACTTGCAGCCGTGGTTTTCAATGCGCATCGTCTTGGGGGCAACGGACGCGAGGGTGCCGATCCACCCTGGTGCCAAGCGGTGCAGGGTGCCGATGACTGACTAGTGCGGCGGCAGCGTCCGAGGATCACTAAATCTTGCAAAGGACATCATGGAGCTCAACAGTGCACACGCTGTGCTTGCAATAAGGAAGGTGCAGCATTATAAGCTTAGTCGACAGCGCAACACTGGCAACAGAGGCACCGTCTGCCAGCTCAAAGCCTCCGAGCAGCCAAATGATGCTGACAAGGACAGGGATGCGCTTGGTCAGTGATGAAAGCTCAAAGCACTGTTTGGAACGCTGCCACCATCGTCTGACAGCAGCAGCGCCTTTGACCCAAGGCAGTCGCAGCAAACGCTGGCGGCGTCCCCGTCACTTGGCCGCCCCTGCGCGTGCGCCCCACTGCAGGTCCTCGTCGCCCGCCTCCAGAGCAAACGCGCCCCCGTCCGACGGCGGCCGCCGCGCGGTGCCGCCGCCGCCAGCCGCGCCCGTGGCGCCGGCTGCGCCCGATGAGTGCCCCTGGGGCTTTCCCAGCGGCTCGTTGGAGCCGACGAACAAGACGTCGTCCGTCGCGCCGCCGCTGACGCTCCCCGCCCACCGCAGCGCCGTCGTCGGCAGCGCGCCCCCCTCGCCACCGGCGCCGCTGATTTGGCTGCCGCCGCTGGCCCCAGCGCTCGCCGTCGCGGCGGCCGCCACGGGCGTGGGCGCGACTGCCCCGTCGCTCGAAGCGGCCACGGCGAGCACTGTGGCTGTGGCGGCTGGCCCGTTGAGAGCGGTCTGCCACCCGCGCGCCGCCGCCTTGACTACGCCCCCCGCGTGCTGGAACAGCGCCGCCGCAGACGCGGGCGCGCCCGCGTCGCCGCGCGCGGCGTGGGCGGTGCGGGCGCCCTGCGCGCCGGCCTGGACTGCCTGGACTGTGCGCTGCAGTCCGGCGCGGACCCAGGAGACGGACTCCCCAGAAAGGCGCGAAAGCTCTTCCCGTATGCCCTTCACCTGGGCATGATCGTTGAATAAAGGATGAATGTGCATGAGTTGAGAGGCAGCCTCGAGGGAGGGGTGGGTGGATGGGTTGAGACAGCCACAGGGAGGGGTGGGTGGGTGGTGCATGAGACGGAAAAGAAACAGTGAGAGGGGTGTTGATGGGTCGAGCCGCATGAGGGAAAAGGGCGTATGCTCAAATGCTGGTAAAGACCCGCCCGGCTGCATGGCGGGAAAAGGGGGCGGGAGGCCGTCGCAAATAGATGGGCACTGCGCTGCCGCCCCGTCAAGCGCGGCCGCGCCGACGGATCTGCGCCATGTGGCTGTGTCGACACGGCGCGGCCGCCAAGGGCCCCCACCGCGTTTGACGCGTCGTTGGTGGCCTGCAGCGCCGACGCCCCCGTGACCGCGAAGCGGTTGAGCCAGGCCGGCACCGGCTTCACGCACAACTCCGATGCTAGCACGTCGCAGAAGTGACTGGGTGTGATCGGGGGTCAGGGGGAATGGGGACATATGAGGATCGGATTGCGAGACAGCACACATCCACGGGTCTGAAACCAGTGACTGGGGACCGAAGAAGGGGCGTGAAAACGCCGGAGGAAGAACAGGATCTTGACGCCTAAGCAGGGCAGGAGGCGCGCGCGTTGCGGGGCCGGAGGAATCCGAGGCCAGGACAGGGCCGGCTTCGTCATCGTGGGTGCGAACCAAATTGCAGGTCAGCAGTAGAGATGGGCACCGAGGGAGCAAGGGGCCGGGGATGAACTCTGCGCAAGGAGGGCTCGGGTTGGCGCAGGGCGCGGGCATGGCCACACGCCATCATGCAGGGAGGACGCGGCCTAGCCCCGCAATCCATCCTCACCAGCAGTTGCGAGACAGCAGGTCATACGACAGCCCCGGCCACTCGGCCCGCATGCGGCGGACGATCGCCATGATCTGGAGTCCGAGGTTGAGACCAGCCAAACCATTCAGATCAGCCGGGTCACCCGTGCCAGGTCCGAAAGCATCAGCGACGGTTGGTCGAACACGATTGCATCCAGCTCTAATCAATGGTTGGCTTGCGGGCCCTCTCCTTGCAAGTGTCACACCGAACGCACCGCCCGGCAGCGTGCCCACTGCAGGCAAGCCGCCCCCGCTTTTTTTCTCATTGTCAGGCGCGCAGTCCTTGGTAGACCGGCACTCCCACTACAATAAAACGCAGGGTGTGCCCCCCCTCCCCGTGTGTCCACCCTGCGCGCCTGTGGTTGGTCCAGTGTGGTGTGCCCCAGGCTGATGGTCTCCCTGAACGTGTACATAGGGTTCTGCCGCGCCCTCACGTGGTATACGCCAGACCCTGACTCCTGCAAATTGGGATCGGGGACCGATGAATGAGATGAGTGCAGGTGGGGGAGCGATGCGGAGGCTGCACACTCTCATGGCCCATGGTCGGCCTGCATGCGGGCCCACCACGAGCACCTCCACGGTTCCCCTGCTGCTGCTGCTGCTGCTGCTGCTGCTGCTGCTGCTGCTGCTGCAGCAGCCTCTGCTGCTGCTGCCTCTGCTGCTGCTGCCTCTGCTGCTGCTGCTGCTGCTACTGCTGCTGCTGCTGCTGCTGCTGCATCCGCTGCTGCTGGCCCTGCAGCTGCCAAGGCTGCCATGCAGGCAGCTCCGAGGTGCCACTCACGCAGTAACCAAAGCTGAACTCAACATCCCCGATGACGATGGCGCCGTGAAACACGCCCCCAACGCCCCCAAACAGGTTGCGCGTCTGCATGGACCGCATGCATGGAGAGCAGCGCGCATTGAGTGCTGCATGTGTTGTGCCGCCCATGCGGCAGGGGGCGTGGGGGTATGGGGGAGGGCACGCCCCGACAAGCGGGCAGAGCGGCATGCGGGTCCCGCCGCAAGCCACTGCTCGTTGGGCGATGCCTATGCGCTCCATGCGGCGGCAGCCACGGGTTGGTCCGCGCATGCTGCGTTGGCGCATGCCCCGCTGCAAGTCCTCCAGTTCCAATTCAAACACACCAGGTTGTTCAGGCGCGTGATGGGCGCCGCCGGGCCGCCGGTGCCGTCGGGGGGCACCACATCATATACATTCAAGAAGACCTCGGTAGTGGGCGGCAGCGGCTCTGGCGGGTGGTCGGGGTCGGCCCCATCCATCGCAGCACTGTCCTCAGGTTTGCCTCTCAGCCGGTGCCCCGTTGGCCTGCAGCCGCGTTAACGCTGGCTCGGCGGCCACGCCGACGGTTTGGAGCTCCGTTATCTGTCAAGTTGTTGAGTTGCGGGGTGCCGCTCGAAACGGCGACCAGGCCCCCTTGAAAACGCCGATGGGGGTGCAGCGGCGGTGCGACCGCCGCAAGTGGGGTAGCTGTACGACACGCTGGCAAGGTTGTGGAGCGGTGCAGGATAGCTAGCTACCCCGTTGTAAAAGCAGTCGCGGCTGTAAACGCGGGTGCGTGCAGAAAAGATCACTGTGGTACCGGTACTGTTCAGTGAAATTGGCGCGTCTCAGAACGTTTGGGGTGGACGGTCCCAAAACATATTTCCACTAACATACGACTGTTGGTTGATTGATAGCCGTATTCAAGGACTACGATCTACCGGTATAAAACACGCTGCGATCACAATCCAAATCTGCTTCCGTAGGAACAGAGCAGAAGGGCGCCCGTACGCTGCTTGGATACGTTGCGGTGTCCTGATCTTGCACGCGTACACACGTCGGCGTGTCGACCCGGCCGACAGCTGCACGCAGCGATGGCAGCACCTGCTGTGATGCCGCCAACCCAATTCAAGCACTGCGACAAGTATGCGGCCGCCGTCGCTATCATCAGCCACCCCGACGTACTGGCCGCCATCTTTGATCGCCTGCCAGCGAGCGAGCAGTGCGTATCGGTGGGCGCGCTCAGCCGTGCCTGGCAGGGGTGGGCGGCGCCAAGGCGCGTCGCTCTGCAGCAGTACTGCATTGGAGCGGAACCGGCAGGCCCCGTCGTCGAGAAAGTTGCCGAGAGCTGCCACCAGCTCTCCGGCTTCCAGCTGCCCCAGTGGATTGTATGCGAGCAGTGGCCGCGCCTGACGGCGGCGCAGCGCTCGACGGCCGCGCGCCGCGCTGCAGCGCATGGCGACCTCGCGTCGCTGCGGTGGGCGCATGGGGCGGGCTGCCCCTGGGAAGATGCAGTGCTCTGCCAAATGGCGGCCTACGGCGGGCATCTGGAGGTGCTGCGCTGGCTGCGCGGCACCGGGTGCCCCTGCAACTTGAGCACCTGCGTCGCTGCGGCCCTCGGCGGCAACCTCGGCACGCTGGAGTGGCTGCACGGCGAGGGCTGCCCTTGGGATGAGGCAGTGTGCAAAGCGGCAGGACGCACCGGCCAGATCGAGACGCTGCAGTGGCTGCATGGCGCGGGCTGCCCTTTGGACGGGCAGACGAGCATGGCCGCCGCTCGTCACGGCCACATGAAGATTATGCGGTGGCTGCGGGGCGCCGGCTTACCATGGCGCGACTTCACGTGCGAAGCAGCGGCGGCCGGCGGCCACCTCAGCATGCTGCAGTGGTTGTGCAACGCTGGCTGCCTTTGCACCGAACAAGCGTGCGCGGCGGCCGCGGGCAGCGGTCATCTGGGGGTGCTGCAGTGGTTGCGCGGAAGGGGGTGCGCCTGGGACGCACTGACGTGCGCCTTGGCAGCAGGCGAGGGCCACTTGGACGTGCTGCGCTGGGCGCGTGGTGCCGGCTGCCCCTGGGACGAACGCACTTGCGGGATGGCGGCGATAGGAGGCCACTTGAGCCTGCTGCAGTGGGCGCGCAGCGCCGGCTGCCCTTGGAATGGTATGACGTGCAAGGCGGCGGCATCTGCTTGCCAACTCGAGGTGCTGCGATGGGCTCGCAGCGCGGGCTGCCCTTGGAACAAGATGATGTGCTATCTCGTGGCTCATATAGAACATCCTGACCTTTTTCGCTGGGCGCTCGGTGCGGCGTGCCCCTGGGACCGCCGTGCGCGCTCGGACCTTGCCCAAGCGAGTCGGCGCGCAGCTGTCCTCAAATGGATCAAGGAGCAGGCGGATTAAGTGCGGAGCGGTGCTCCAGGCCGAATATTTACGCCCGCCCCAAGGCCGCAGGTGGCACCTTTGCGCCACTGATCGCTTGCTCGCTGATATGTGTGTGCAGTGCGATTACGCACACCGGCGACTGAGCGTGCAGACTTGCATTGCCTTACTCAGTGACCGAAGGCTCCCACTGGTGTGTGTCGCGTATGAGTGGCAGCCTTGTGGTCTCCGCGTGAACCAATCACAATTCCGCTGTGCTTTGGATGACTGCCGCATTAGCCAGCGACGCAAAGCATCAGGCTTTCTGTCCCCTGGCCTCCAGGAAGCAGGAACGAGCAACCCCTGAAAAGTTACTGATGCTGATGAAGCGTTGATGACGCCATGGTTATGTGGTGATTACACAGGTCTGCCCTTTAGCCTTCACACGATGCTTGCATGTGGGCGCACGTCAAATAGGTCATGCATGCCACCCAGGACCGGACTCGCCGTTTGCGGCATTTAAAAATGCGTGTCAATGGCAGCTGCAAGCGCAGAGCGCTCAAAATTCGAGGCAGTCGCCAGGCATGTGCGCGAGAGCCTGGTGGGAAGCTGCCGTGCACCTGCTACTCAGCTGCTCTTCTCGATGATGAGGGGACCCACGTTGTCGCCGGTCTCCTGTGAAGCATTGAAGGAAAATCAGGAGTTGCTGAGCGAGACCAGCCAGCAGGCAGCATGCCTGTGTCGACCGTTACCGGGCCGCCTTGCAACCCAGAGTTCAGCTATGGGTGGGCCCTGCAGCTGCAGCATCCACAACTGCTGCTGGTGTGGCGGCTTGCGAATCGAGCGCTGTCGTACGGCAGGCTGGAGAACGCTGGATGCTGGACGCTGGATGCCAGGTCAACGCAGTGTCGCAGTCAAGGAGTAAATGCCAGTCAGCTGTTGGCTCGCGTGACGTCTGCCTGGTGCCCGATGTGATGATCCAGATGCATTTTGCGGTGATTACGCCATGCTCTGTCGTGCCAGGGCGCACCTTGTTGTGAGCGACGTGCGCGCCGTTGCACAGGGGGAAGGTGGCGGAGCGCCAGCAGCGGCAGTACACAGCCTGCAGGGAAAGGATGCGTCGCCGCGCACGCAGGGCAGATGGGTTCGCGAGCTTTGCGATGCTCACTCTTTCCTATCTACCGGCGGCAGCTGCCTGCTGGCTCCCAGATAGGGGCGAGAAGGTTCTGATGTTGGGTCAGCTGGCATTTTCCAGGTGCAACCAGGCGGCAGCCGCTGCTGCGCGATGCATGTGACCCCACAGGGTACGGCACCGCACCTTCTTGCCGGCAAGCTCATCGACCTTGCAAGTGTCGACAACCTAGGATGTGCCGAGCAGCGTGGGCGGCAGGGGTGTGCGCCTCGGGGTGCAGCTAGTGCTTCCAGAGTGTGAGGGCCGCACCCTGCCCCCTTATCAACACACACGCGCCTCGCGCCTCGTGCAGCAAGCAGACATACTGCCGTCAGCAACATGCCACTCAATGTCAATGTGCATCGCCTGTGACCTCCGACGAGCGCCCATTGCTCGCCTTTTCCACGTCCTTCTTGATCGAGGGGTTGATGGTGCCCTCAGCAGCGCGCACCGTCACGCTGATCTTGCGAGCGGGGCCCTGACGCCAGGCACAGGCACTGGCCGTGCTGGAGCGCTTCAGGCTAGCCTGCATTTTGTGTGGCGATCTGAGGCGTCGGGCAGGATCGAACTTTGAAGCAGTTGATGCACCGTCAATTGTAATCACATATGCAAGCTCCCCTCTAAATTCAGGGCGTGCCCCTTGCCTGGCCCCTCCAACCCCATCCCCTGCTCAGGCATTCATAACCCCTCATCAGCATGCCAGGTGCGTCTATGCTGAAAGCGTGTCTTCCAAGCTATGGCATTCAACCTTTGTATCCGATGCACAACCAGGAGAGATGCTGCCATCAACCTATGACTTGTTTGTTGTCAGCGCACGCACAGCACACGCACAGCACACGCCTGTCACCGTTTGCCGCTTGTCAAGGGGTGTAGCGTAGCGTGTACATGCATTGTGGCTTGGTTGAAGAAGTCCACATGTGCACTTGCCAAATACCAACCTCAGCCTATCGGTAACGAGGAAGTTTGACTATGGTTTACCAGCATTCAAACAAAGTTGTGAAACCTTTGACCACGAATTGTACTGCACCGAGGGTGTACACAGTGCCGTTCCCAGGAGTGACGCAGGCTCCAGCTGTGTGCGTGCCTGGGAGTGTGGTCGGCGTCGGGGGAGTGAGGCCTTAGCCTCACCTGCTTGAGACCCAAAGGCACAAGCAATTGTTTCCCTTTGTCAAAGTCTTGTGTGCGCAAAGCTGCTGGGCCGAAGCCCTTGCTCTGTCCTGCTTTGCCTTGGCCAACGGCCCGGCATTGTGTGCGCTGCACCACACTCAATGTCAGCTTCAAACACCGAGTGCCACAGCTGGTCTATCACAATAATCCTCTTGAATGCAGCTTGGAGCTTTTGAGCCATCAGAGAAAGCCCTTCTCCCCCCCCCCCCCACACACACATTCCGGCAATTGCCATGAAGCTGCTCGCTTCCAACGGCCCTATGGAACCACAAAGTTTCCATCTCGCAGGCGCTCAATCAAGCATAGCAAACACCAACCAGCCGGCTAGCATCAATTGTGGACTTTACAACCGAGCAATGACTGAAAAAGGTGGGCAGTCATGGCTCGCATACAAAGAATGTGCCTGTACAAACAACAGCAATTATAGGACAGTGGGCCAACACTAACACGTCCCAACCATGCGCCGCGCGTGCAAAGCGTATGGCTAGGTTGTGCAGGGTTGTCATTCGTCAACATCACGTCAGTGTCAGGCGCACCTTCACCTTGCCTCCATCCAGCAGCAGCCCCTTGGCCTGCCAGGCGGCCGGGTCCCACCCCGCCTGTGGCCCCAGGCCCCAAAAGTCGCCCCAATGGCACACATGGCCGATGCGGTGCGCGCATCCGTGTATGGCTGATATGCTTTCAAAGCGCCGTGCAGCGCGCTGCACGGCGATAGTTGGCCGCTGGAGGGCCAGAAACGTCGCTTTGCATACAATGAGCTGGTCTGCGCACACGTCAAAGCGGCCCTCGTCGACAAGCTCGAGACCGACGCTGTACTCCACGGTGTGCTGCCCTTCCCCTGGCACGATTGTGATGCACCCGCGCCACTTGAAGCCGCGGAAGAACCGCGCCGGCCCCTCCACCAGCTTCTGGACTCCGACCCCCTCGCCGCCTCCGTCGCGCGCCACCGCCAGCACCGCCTCTGTCGCCGCTTTCAGCTGCTCCACCGAAACCTCGATCACAGATTGAGCCTCCAAAGCCGCTGTGAGCGGCCGGCTGGGGTAGAACCACTGGGGCTCGATTTCAACCAAGCCGCCACCATTGTGAAGCCGAGCCTCTTTGTAAGCTCTGCTGCCGGCTGCAAAAGCGGTCAGCTCGAGCAGCTGCTCCCTGGCGAGCGCGGCCTGCACCCACGCCGAGCGGGCCGCCACTGTCAGGAGCACTACGGGGTGCAGCCGCCCCAGCCGCACGACGCCGGCGAGCCGCGCCGCTGAGTGCTGCAGCTCTCGCTCGCCCTCCTCGCCCAACGCGGCGCCGTCCTCTCCGCGATCCTTAGCCCCCCACCGCTTGTGGCACCAAAATGTCGCCACCGCAAGCGCCGTATCTTCGCAAGACGCGCGCGTGCGGTCATCCCGAAGCAGCGCGCACAGCGCCGTCAGCGGCAGCGACAGCAGCTGCTGCCGCTTTACGGCGTTGCCCATCGCCGCATCAAGGTCACCCAGCTGTTGCTGCAGCTTGTTCCTGGCTGCTTGCAGCGCCGCGCGAAAAGCAGGCGCCTCCAGGCACGCCTCCGGCAGCGAGAAGAGAGCCTCAACCGTCGACCACTCAATCTGGTCTGTCGGGATTCCCTGCAGGAGCCGCCCAGCTGCCACGGCGGTCTGATTGACTTGGAAACGGTCGGCGAGCCGCAGCACTGACAGCACCAACGCCTGGCTGGTGCCCTCAAGGGCCCTGACACCCGCGTAGATGGAGCGGAATAGCAGCTGCGCCGCCTTCACATCCTCCGCGTCGTCCACCATCAACTCGACCCGCGGCCTCGCCGGGCGCTGCCGCTCAACTGCCACAGACAAGTCCGCTGCCGCGCGCCGGCGCAGGCGGGGGCGCGCCGCCTCCCCCGCAGACGCTTCGGCGTCCGCGTCGCCGGCGCCGTCATGGGTCCAACGCTCGATCTGCGCCGCAAACACCGGGGAGGCGTCGTGCAGCACAAGCGGCGGGCGCGGCGGGCTCGTCTTCGCGGGCGCGCTTGGAGCCCGGGGCGGCGCCGCCGGCGTCGGGTTCCGCGTGCGCAAGCGCTGTGTCTTTGCCACCGCTGCCGGGGCCGCTACTGCTGCTGCTGCTGCTGTTGCTACTGCTGACGAGGATGGCCACATCTATATCAGAAAGCAGGCCGCTGTCCAGGTACCTGGAGAGGTCCTGCATGCCAGTCGCAGCAACGTGGTGGCCTGCGCCAGTGCATGGTGGACACGGGGTGCATGATTGAGCAGGGCTGCGGGCCCGCGTGCTGGTGTGATCATGCATGTTTGACACAGACTCTGATGCCCACGTGTGCATCAGGGGTTTGAAACAAGCACTGTGGTTGATCGTGGCGCATGGATGGGCGGAGGTGTCATGTCGCACAACGGGCACACTAACAGCAACTCTTCAGGCGCAGATCATGGGATGGCTGCGCCGCGTTCCAGGCGCACCTGCAGGGGCCGCTTTTTGTGATGGAAGCATCTCAGCGGCCTGAATATGATAAGAAGCGGGCCGTAATTGTGGGATCCCCAGGTTGTCTCTTGTCTTGCCTGGGGGAGTGCAGCAGGTGGTGGGCGTTGCTGACGCTTGGCCTGTGACAACGCTTGCTAGTCTTCATGGCTGTGAAGCGTCCTAAGCGCTTGCCTTGGTGTTGGCTGGTAGAACCGATTTGTGCCGCATTTATTGGTCTGGGCCGACGCAGCGGGTCGCGTGCGTCGTTGGCATCAGCAGCGCAAACGGGCAGCACTGCACCGACAGCCATATCAGACGGCGCTTTTGCATGTAGGACTCACCTTTGATGGATACCCTTTTGACCTGAGGGGCGCGACGGTGTAGTGCGATACTTCAATTTGAAATACCAGATCGCATCTGTGTCACTCTAGAAATGCTCGTAAGGCTGCTTAAGAAAAGCGCTTACCGTGATACGATACTGACATGGGGTACAATGTGACATGGTGCCGGTCATGACATTCGCGAACCAGCAAGCCACCAAGTCATTTCAAATGATCTGGACCTGCGGCCATTGACAACCAACCTCAAGTGCACCTGATCAGCGGCACGGGCAGTATGAGCTTAATTGAAGTCGGTGAAAGCCGCAGGATCACTAGAACGCATGATCAACTGGCCCCTCGGTGTGCATGGCGCTCTGCGTTCCAGCATGTGGCTGGTGCCGTCGCCCTTCTGCTGGCACTGATGCCGCTGGCCACCCCTGCTGCCGCGGGCCGCACTGCGGCCGCGCCGCGGCCGATGACAGAGTGCCCCGCGCAGCTGTTCCTGCCGGCGCCGGCCACCCTCAGCCGCGGCGCCAGCGCCTTCCTGTCAGGCACCCGCCTGCCACAGCCGCCCTCCCCGGCCACCCTTTCGGAGAGCGCCGACCCAACAGCCCAAGCGCGGCGGGCGGCGGAGGCGCGGCGCGACGCGGAGCGGCAGCGCGCCAAGGACGCGGCCGCCTGGAAGCTGCCCTCCGAGCGGTACCGCGCCGTTTACGTAATGCGACACGAGGTGACGTCACTCGGCGGCGTCCAGTCGGTCCTGGCGGAGCCGCGGCCCGGGCTCCGGGCCGACGGGCGGCCCGCAGGTGGCGTCGGAAGCCCTGCGGCCGACAACTCATCTGCGCTGCTCTTCTTTCACGGTGCGACCCAGGCGCTGCGCGCGGCCCTCCATCTTCCAGCATCCCTAGTCCGTCCCGCGTCCCGCGCCCGACTCCCTGACCCAAACCCAACCTGCGTCCCCGAACGCCTCCAGGTGTCACACGCCCAACCTCTCATGCTCATCAGTCTCATGCCTCCCTCACGCGTAATCCGTCCCCCTGATCCCACCCGAACAACTCCCTAGGAGGCGGCTACCGCCTGGGGGACCCCCGAGCAATGTTCTTCGCGTTCGCACCGCTCGCCGCCGCCGCGGCCCTGCCGGCCTACGCCCCTGCCTACCGATTGGCCCCGGAGCACCCCTTCCCCGCCGCCTTGGACGACGCGCTCGCCGCCTACAGCGCCCTGATAAGGAGGGTCGACCCGGCGCGCGTCGCGCTCGCCGGCGACTCTGCCGGCGGCGGCCTCGCGGCCGCGCTGCTGCTGCGCGCGGCGGGGGAGGGGCTGCCGCTGCCGGGCGCGGCGGTGCTGTTCAGCCCGTGGGCGGTGCTGAAGGGGGGCGTCACTGACACGTCTGTCACGCTGTGCTGCGCGGTGCGTGGGTGGTTAGGTGGGGGAGTGGGCGTGGGCTCGCCTCGCTTTGTTTTAGATCAGGTGCCCAGCACCGCAGGGCCATGCAAGCCGTGTGCCTGTCGGGCGCCTTGCGCCCAAAAACCATGATTGCAGCTTCCAAGTAGCTGCTTTGATCTTCCACCCTGCGACAACCCCATGCAATTCCACATAACCGACACCCATCGACGCAAAAGTGGGCGCCCCAGTATTTCTGCCGTCAGGATCCGCCCGCGCCCCCATCCTACCTCCACCCCACCAGGATCCCATGCTCAACCCCGACGCCCTGGCAGCTGCCGGGAAGCTGTACGCCGGCAACGCCAGCGCCGACGACCCCCTGCTGTCGCCCGCCTTCGGCGACTACGGTGCCGCGCGCGCCAAGGCGCGCGGCGGCCGCTTTCCTCCGGTGCTCATCACGTGCGGCACGCGGGAGGTGCTGCTCAGCGATGCCGTGCTGCTGCGGCACCGCATGCGCGCGGGCGGGGTCGACGCCAGCATAAGCCCCTACGAAGGAATGGTGAGCGAGCCCTCATTACTCACCCCTGTGGGCTGCGCGCCTATCGTTTCCAGGCTGCTGCCAGCTGGCAAGCGGAAGCTGCACTGTAGGAAACCTCGCTCCCGGCCACGCGCAGGCGGCAGCGCCCTCGTGGCGCCCGCAAGAGTGGCCTCCCTCCCTTGCACGCGCGATCCACTGGCCCTCGTTTTGGATCGTGCACATCCTGCGTTTTCGCAGTGGCACAGCTTCAATTCGCGCGGCAGCCCGGGGGCGCTCGACCTGCCAGAGGCGGCGGCGGTCATCACAGAGGCGGCCGAGTTCATACGCAAACACATCCCTCACAGACAGGGCGGCGTCGGCGGCGTCGGCGGGGCTGCCAGCGGCAGCGACGGCACGGAGGGTGGGGGCAGCAGTGGTACTGCCAGCGGCGGCGGCGGCGGCGGCGGCGTTGAGGGCAGCAGCAGAGGGGGCGGCAACTCGAGCAGCGGGGGATTGGGGGCAAAGGCTCCAGGGGCACGATGATGCTGAAAGGTTTGATTCCTAGTGCAAGCTTACAACCAGCCGCAGCAGAGCAAGGCCGCTGTGTGACAAGAATGATTGTGGTTACAGCCAAAACGTTGAAACGCAGGCGGCCCTGTCGCAGGCAGCCGTTGTCATCACCGTCCCCGCGCCTGCCGCCCCGCCGCCGCCGTCCGTGCTGCCTGCGCCGCCCCCGACGCCTCGAGCGCGGCCCTCTGGTCAAGCAGCTCCGCCAGCTCAGCGGCCAGCGCCGCCTCCTGGTCAAACGCGGTCAAACGGTGGCGCGCGACGTACGACGCCATCCACCGCAGCGGCGCCTGCGTGGCGCCCTGGGGCACGCTGTCGGACCTTGAGTCAAACGTGATGCAGGCCGGTGGAAGAATAGAAGTTTGATTGCAAGTGTGAGACTAAGCTGCAGCCCCACACAACGGCCCAGAAGCTGAGTCAGAATTTGAGAGAAAAGCGAGGGGCAGGGCGGCTGCTTGGGTGCTCGGTGCCCCAATGTAGCAGGACAAGCGTTGATGGATATGAACAATCGAACGCTGAAGCGCAATGCTGCACGCAAGACTGTCAGGACACGAGCCGGCAGCAGCCCTCCGACGCACCCGCCGTCGCCGCCCACGCCCGCGTCGCGGCCCGCCGCGCCGCCGCATGCGCGCCCGCCGCCCAGCCGGACGGCCGTGTTGAGCAGGCAGCCCGCGTTGAAAGCCGCCCTCACGGCGTGCGCCTCGTCGTCGGCCGGGAGCGGGTCGGGAAGCTGCCCGTAGCCCCATGAGACGCTTCCGCCGGGGCCCGGATCCGACCCCCCGGGCGTGAGGGAGGCGAGGAAGAGCTGATAATGACCAGCCGCTTGCCGCGCGGCGGCGGCGGCCTGCAAACGGACGGACGTTGCAGTTGATTCACTCAGATGGCATTGACTGCCTTTTTGGTACATGTGTGCGGATGTAGCATGGCTTGATCTGTCCTCATCTTCATGCATGGCAATGCCTGGAGCGATGCCTGGTTTGGCGAGCGGGCGGAGCGACAGTCGATTTTCCATCACCCCAGCAAACCAGCGGCAACAATAATGCAACCAAGAAGGCCAACCTTGCTGGCCGGCGCGCCACACTCCTCCAGCGCGCCCGCCGCCTCGCGCCACGCGTTGGCAGTTTCAAGGATCACGCTCCTTCGGGCAAAATAGTCGGCGGGGAAGGGCTTGAGCTGAGGAGGCGCGCGATCGTCATGCTTCGGCTGTACAGTTGTAGGCAAATGCAACGTATCATATACGTACTGCAGTAGCAGCGGAGAGCGAACGCTTGGCAGGCTCGGCGGCTGGAGCAAGGTGTGCGCGGCCGGGTGGCTGCACAAAATATCACGCAGGCAGCCACATTGGTGGTGCTGCAGTGGTAGCACCACGTTGGCCATCCACCGCACTGCTCACTTGTGGAGGCCGGGGTAGTGCTGCGCCGAAAAGGAGCCGACCAGCGGCCCCATCACGCGCGCGCGCGACTGGTGGGCGGCCGCGCGCCGCTTTGCGTCCGGATCAAAGTCCGCCAGCAGCCTGAGAGGGTTTGTTTTCGATTGGGGGTTTGTTGGGATGTGAAGTGCTAAGGGGCAAGAAGCAAGGGGGCGGTGGCCGGGATGAGGAGGGACAGGATTTAGCAGCAATGGCGCCAGCATCTGCGAGCTTGCCGGACATCGGCCGCGGCCGCACGCACTGCCGTGCAGTGCCCAGAGTCTTGGGCGTGCGTGTGCTTGTGATTTAAGCGCCCACCATGCGTCGGTCGCCCAACACGACACGGCCACTGGCCCCAAGCATGTTGCGGTACGCACAAGCAAGCCACGCTTGACAAGAGAAACCCAGAATCAACCTGCCCGCGTCATACATCAACCAACAAGCTCCAAGCAGACACACACAATTCTTGCAGGTGAACCCTGACGCAGGGCAGACAACTCGCAGTCTGAACCTGCATCGGGCAGGTGCGGTTTCAGCAGCTCAACCCTGTCCCTCACAGTCCCTTGCGGTGACCCCCGTTCACCTGTACACGTTGCTGACCTCCAGCTGCGTCTCAACGTGCTCAGTGACCCAGCCGTCCAGGCGGTAGTGGCCCAGGGCGCGGCTGGGGCCGTGGAAGGGGGCGGGGGC